ATGGCATACCAGCCAAACGGCTCTAGTAGATTACAATGCCGATCCCCCCAAGCATCAACTGACCACTATGATGGCACACATGGCCCTTTCAGATCCTCGATGTGTTTCATCAAAAAGTGCATATATGCCATGTATTGTCTCGATTCCTGTGTGCCATCAAAGTGTGAACCTGTATAATTGTTATAATTTCATAATAATATGTTGTCATAGAAAATATATTATCATGAGTATGTTTCAGTGTCTTCATCATAATCAATTTTGTAACATTGTATGGTGGTCTCTTTAGGTTGTTTTATTATTTTTGAATTCACCATGTCTAAATACTGCTTCCTTTTGGTTTCAAAGTCCCCTACTGGTCTACCTATGCTTTTCTTTTCAGATGCTTCTCCATTTTCCTTAAATCATTTTTTCTCATTAGTCTTTTCATCAATGGTTTTTAACAACTGTAAGATCAATTTAAGACTATTATTATATCTGTTCATTTTCTTTATCAGCTCATCCATTTTATCAGTATTATCTAAAGTAATAGATCCACCATCATCGTTTGAAACTTTCATAGTCTTATCTTATCACTCTTGCTGATTTTAAAGCTATATGGATTACACTTACACTGTTTGCCTTTAGTGTTGATTTCAATTTCATTCTCAGTTGTAGTTTTCCCTGGCATAAAGGACAGTCAAAGGCAATGAATTTGCTTGTTAGTTTTTGTTCTTCATCTAGTTTTATTGTTGTTGGTTCTTCATCTGCTAGTTCAAACTCTTCGGGGATTTGTGTTTTATTCATCTTTGTTGTTTTTTTTGTCTTGTTTGGTGGCATGTATAATATTACATTTTAGATAAGTAATTATCAATTTTGACATTTCCAGTGAGTATTTACAACACTGCTTAAGTTTATTATCTTTAACAACTGGATATTTAGCACTATCATTTTTTTCCATATCATCTCTTCCTGTTATATAAGCATCATGTTCAGATAGCGTCATAATATATAACTATAATTAGATAATGCTTTAACACCATCTAATTATGTAGTGCTTGGGAGAACACTAAAAACGAATTCAACTGTAAGGGCAAAAAATCCATTGCTGAAAAGCAAACTAATTACCGACTTATGCGGATTAGCGTAGCCTCACCTACCGCACTCTGTCCATAGGAGATCTGCTAATATTTAATAATGTTTTCTATGTATTTTTATTAATAGATGAATAATAACACCGCACCACATATTCAACCTATCAAAGAAATCAATTATGAATTCACTCAATCAAAATATGCTGTTGCCTCTAAAGTGCCCTTTAGATCAATCATAACCGGTCCGTCTGGTAGTAGCAAATCAGTGCTACTAACAAACATGAATATGGACACCTACAAGGAAGTTTTTCAAGGGTGTATATCTGGTCACCTTCAATAAATGTTGATAGCATCTGGTTGCCAGTCAAGAAATACATAAAGGAAGAAATGAAAGTGAATACTGGTAAAGAGCAGGTTTTGTTTGAAGACTTTCACAGTGAAGATTTAATGAAAGTCATTGAAACACAACATAGAATAACTGAATACAGTAAAAAAACATAAATAAAAAAAACAATCCTAATAGTCTTGGATGATATAGCAGATGATCCCAAAATAGCAAGATATTCAAACATATTTGATTCCCTTTATGTAAGAGGTAGACACAATGGTATTAGTGTTATAACATCTGTTCACAAATTTAATGCACTGACCACACTGATAAGAGTTAATGCCACACACCTATGCTTCTACAAGGTCAGCAACTTTAAAGAAATAGAACTGTTTCAAAAAGAACTATCAGCAATACCTAGAAGAAAAGAAACAATATCCAAGAAAGGAAGCAGGTCTTATATAAACTTTATGAAATAGCCACTGAACAGCCACATATGTTTTTAGATATTAATCTTCTGGAAAAGGATAGGAACAAGATGTTTATGATCAATTTTTCACACTATTTGCAAATTGATGATTGATAATGTTAATATGATCAATCTTTATACCAATGAAGGAGCACAAATATTATAGCAGGTAGTTTATACATAATCCTATTCGATTTCAGGATGTGAGCAGCTGGGAAGGTTCGTCAAGGGTACACATTCTATCACGAGCGAAATGAACCCCAAAGGTCCCTACCACATACCCTTAGGACCAACCATGTGGGTGTCTAATTGTGCTAATATAATATATATATATATACCAGGAGTCACAAGATGGAGTGCCGAACTTGGAGGATAGGGGTGCCCAGAACGTCCACTCACTTAGAGACAACAAAAACATGCCCCTTTGTGACTCCTGGTATATATATATATATACTTAGAGACCTAGAAAGACTTCCCAGGCTTTCAGTGTGGGGCGACCAAGGTCAAACCTGGCGAACCCTACATCCACCCAACGCACCAAACGCGCACGCAACATCTGTAGAGCCTTGGGCCTCCCCTCCAAGCATACACGAGCCGGCAGCCATGCCATACTGGCCTGGTGTCGCAAGGCGCCCAGTGAGCACGTTAGCGCATCGTCTCACTGTCATCCACTTTGCACCAAGTGGGTTGGCCTCAAGCACCTTGATGCAGAATATCTCGTGTTGCGCCCCACACCCGGCCAGCGGTGTAACAAGAGCCTGTCAGATCACCCTTAGGGGCAACCCGTGTGCATTGGCTCTTTCGGGTAGGGCTGTGAATTCAACAAAAAGGCTGCATGCACATACTTTGCATCATTGTAATTCGTGCATATTTGTGCATGATAATGCATGTATTGTTTCTATACGTGTATGTTTCGCAAGCTCATTCGAGTCCCTCTCTGTGTTCCTTTTGCCCTCAACCAACCTGATCGGGACAAAGGGTCCCTCGGATGATATCCATGGTGCAAACACGCGTGTGTCATGCATGCATGTTACGAAATTACATCTTGTATATAGCTATTCATATCATTTGTGTGTTTCTTTGTTTTTTTTGTGTGTGCCAAGACCTTTGTGAGTATAAGCCGTGGTGGGCAATGGCTGTGGTGTGCCTACTACCCCATGCGCCAGTCTCTCTCACCCAAACACCCACGTGGACACACACACACACAAGAGCGTAAGATTGTCGAACACAGGGAAGCTGTGTTCGGAGATGCTGGGCGGATATCCAGGCATTATGCCCTTTGCATGGATGAGAAGCACTCAAAAACGATCAATGATCAAAGCCTTTTGTTCCCGTGGGCCTCCCCTCCAAGCATACACGAGCCGGCAGCCATGCCATACTGGCCTGGTGTCGCAAGGCGCCCAGTGAGCACGTTAGCGCATCGTCTCACTGTCATCCACTTTGCACCAAGTGGGTTGGCCTCAAGCACCTTGATGCAGAATATCTCGTGTTGCGCCCCACACCCGGCCAGCGGTGTAACAAGAGCCTGTCAGATCACCCTTAGGGGCAACCCGTGTGCATTGGCTCTTTCGGGTAGGGCTGTGAATTCAACAAAAAGGCTGCATTCACATACTTTGCATCATTGTAATTGGATTCACTACACATCATCCGGAATCCACCATGAACAAACATAAGGCATACAGTTGACAAACCCTGGACACGGAATCCACCTTTTTCCGGCCATGACTTGGTCGGCCGCTTAGGATGCCGGTCCCTTTGTTTCGCAAAGGGAGAGGCGGTGGGGTGAGTGCATCGGGGTCCGTCATGGCGAGCAGAGCGTCCAAAAACATCGTTGTTCAGATCGGCTGAATGACTCAGGGAACGTGTTTTGACTCTTTTTGGAGTGTCCAAAACTACGATCAATGGAAGAAGTTGGCCAAACAAACATTTGCAGGACCACATCGTATTTCAAGCACATCCTTTTGGGAGGGGATTAATTGATAGATATGAATAGTTCATTCCCATTGGCGCAACAGTTCACTGAGAAAACCACACTTCAAGTGGCGTTTCATGGTCATAAATCATCACATGTTCACCTGGCTCCCTCATCACCTGAATGTGTGCTCCTCACCAGACTTCAGAAGTCGACGATCCTCACCAAAAGATCTTAGTTGCAAATCGTCTGTCTGCAGCTAAGAGTGCTGGGCACTCGCTCCAGATGGCGGAAAAGCAGCACCTTCCAACCCCGCCATGGAGGTGCTGATGCTGCAAGTGCCTTCTGAATTCCAATGCCAAGCTATTGATGTCTTATCACGTGTCCTTCTGACACGTGGATTTCAAAAGGCTGCCTCCTGTGCGCAGGAGTTTCCTCACACGCAAGAGGAGGGTATTGAGATCGATTGAGATATATTGAGATTCAAAAGTTAGCTCGACTTTCCCTTGACCTCTCTCTGCCACTTGAGGGCCTATCTTTGTTTGAAAGGACCTCGTCAGTCGAAGATGGAGACCTCTGCCTCACTTTCGAGGAAAAAGAGAGTGGTCAAGGCGTTCGAGAGCTCCTGCCAGTGGGGCACAGAAAACGCACAGAAAACATGCCATGCATCACAATCACAATGCGTATAATATCAGTATAGCAATGGCCTCCAAAGTAGAAGATGTGAGAACGATCTAAAAACAAAACAGTGGGCCCCAGGAAATGAACGAATCCCATGCATTTCAACCGCCATTCTCCACACTTTCCTCTAGGTCTTTCATCTAACCCGATGGACCCGGCGACGACCCGGTGACGAACGGCCCGGGTCGACGAGTGACGGGAGCATCCCTGGGTCCGGCCCCACAAACACTCCACGAGACATACAACATGCATACTAAATCACATGCCATAGTTGCCGATCAGTACTTTGGTGCTTTGGGGAGTCAATGTAGGTGTTGGGGTGGCAGTCCCATTGGGACCGTGTTTTCTTTTTTTTCTGGGAAAATGCAGAGTCTTTCTTTCTACATCGCCCAGTCTGGACTTCATTGCCGCACCAGAAATCGTCCAATCCATTTGGAAAGGTGCCGCGAGTCTTTCTTCCCCCTACCTGAACACAAGTCTCTTCAAGTCAATCATCCACCACCTACATCTTCACAGCCATTCACATCATCGTCACACCGTCTTCAGCCACTTGATGCCACTTGGTCGATGTTTCCGACTTGCCACGGCTCGCGTTGACCGACTGGCCTTCGCCAGGTGTCTGACTGGCCGATGCCTTGTATATGCCTTTTTTTGCTTCCATGACTGGGCAACTTCGGTCTTTCGACTGGGCGACTGTTGTATGCAGTCCTTCTCGATCATGCGCAGGGTTTAGCCTCCTGGGAACACGGAGGTCCGCTCTCCGCGGGTCTGGTCTGGTCTATGGTTTGGAAAGCGCTCCAAGTACAAGTACCATTTATATAGTGGTTTCAGAGTAGATGGCACGATCCCCAAAAGTGGCTTATAAGGACCCCCCTATATACAAAAACATCTTTGGGCCATCTACTCTGAAAAAACATATATACACTGGGGTGCCAAAAGTTGCGCTTCTTGACTTCTAAAACATCACAA